CTGAATTTAAGATATTATGATTGCATGACTTTAGGCGTGTGCCATAACTAACTTTATGTGTAAGGAATAGCGAACACAACAGAGGGTCGATGCCAGCTTTATCTGATTGCTAACAGTATGTCTTGGTCTATAAATAATAATATTATTGATTACAATAATTTTGTTTCCTGGTTTTCACAAAGTAAAGCGCACAATGATTTCAAATATTTTTTTAAAAAAGAGATAACAGCACCTTTGGAGGTGTGATCGCATGCATGAGCGTGGATGACCTTTGAAGGTTTTCTTTTCTTTCTTTTTTTTTTTTGTTCAGTAAAGTATGATATGGAGAGCAGCGTTTTTAGTCCCTATTACACTCCGGGGGGAGGGTGGGGGGGATAATTTATCTCAGTCAGTGATGACTCTTGTGTATTAAAATTTGTTGTTGCTTTGTTTGGTTTATTTTTTAACAGCAGAATCTTAAGTGAACCGGAATTATTGATTGTGGGATCTTAGGTGAAGACTACAACAATAGAATTAAACCGAGTATAGTTCTATCAAACAAGACTCAAACTCTTATCCATCCCACCTACCCTCTCCCCTCATCTGATATGGTGTGAATTTTCTTTAACATAGAAAATATTCATCATTATTGTTGTTGAGTATTGATTTCATATTCTAATGGAGCCAACAGATATCTACATTTAGACAACAGTAGCGTCTAATTTGCACACACAATGGAAAACAATATAAATGTATAATATGTATATATACATACACACATAAAAATTATATATATACACATAATAATTATATAATATATAAGAATAAGAATACTTTTATAAAATTGAGTATCTCGGTCTTTCTGCTGAGGTGTTGTATCCCTTTCAGCCTGGGTTGGCCTTGCAGGTAGCGCCGGAGCCAGCCTCTTATGAATATTAATGGTCTAAATTGTGTTGCTGGGGCCATAAAAACATTTTCATTCAAATTTTTTAAAAGGAAAACAACTTAACTGTGAAAACTTCGGTCCACTGCAGCATCATATCGGTTCTTACATTTAAATACAACACATATGCAAGGCATTTTTACTAATTGACTTGCCTAATCTCAAGGACCTCGGAATAAAACCTTTCTTATTCTTATCTAGATTTCAATGCGTGAGTCGGGGATTCGCGCAGCGCAGGAAGACCACAGTTCCGCCGCGAGAGAGGGCTCCTATCAGGCGTGCGGTGCCGCCCACAGAGCATCCTCCATTACTTTTAACCTCTCCTTGATATATATATATATATATATATATATATATATATATATATATATATATATATATATATATATATATATAATTTCCATCTCTAAGCTTTTTGGATTGAAATTTGCAAAATAACTCGAAAAATCATGTATTTATCCTTGAGACGGAATGTAAGTTCCAGGTTCCAGTCACGGTCGGCTGTTGCTACGGCATATGTACATTGCCAGTCTGATGATCCCCTGTATCCATAGGAACTGCTAGCCGGTTCACTCATGCTGCTCATTGGAGTGCTGGCTCGGCTGTCTTGTTGTGTGACATTAATACGTGTATGCACCGTTTTGCGATGGAGATTTCCACACCGACCTTCAAAAAGTACGTCGTTGATGGCTTCTTTAGCAAAGAGAATTGTCTTGGTCGACACTTCCCTCCGCCTCCTGGTCGTCATCGATCTGAAACGAAATAATATACATATACGTGTATTTTTCATTTAGTTGCCGACAACTGTTATCGTCAATTGAACTTTTTACTTTCCATAACAATCTCACACTAACTAGACGCAGTAATATTGATTCCATCTCTGTGGCTCTGAAACTCAGTCAAATGCAAGAGTGTTTGTAGTTTTTCATCTCCATCAACTTGTAACGTCGTCTAGGAGATGATACAACCTTTTTTTAACGTTCTTTTACGAGAAGCAATCATTAAAACTCTCGAACAGGAAATCCCATTCAAATCGGCTGGATTCAAACCAGGACCTTTAGCTTGATAACCAGGTGTGCCAACCACTGCAATGTGCTATCCAGCCCCTGCCCCACCCCATCCCCACCTCCGAACCAGCACCACCACCAACCCACTCAGACTTGTTTTGAGTGAGGTTTTTTTTATAGACTGAGCGGGCTGAAGTGTTACGCCCAAATTTCTCACACAGATCTGAAACTAAATAAGATTTGTTTTTATCTATTTCAGTTTCCAACAACAGCTGAAGAATGGAAGCCAGTGATCGATGATTGGTGTTCTGCTGTAGGCCTAAACTGCACCATTTCCAAAAAGAAACATCCAAATTTGAGTTTATTTCGATTTCCAAAGGGTGACGAAAGGTAAGATTACCTACAAGTAAGAATACCTACAAGTAAGAAGAAGAAGAAGAAGAAGAAGAAGAAGAAGAAGAAGAAGAAGAAGAAGAAGAAGAAGAAGAAGAAGAAGAA